ATTTTTATTCAAAAATTTATCATTTTTATTCAAAAATTTATAATTTTTATTCAAAAATTTATAATTTTTATTCAAAAATTTATAATTTTTACTCAATCGATGCGATATTAACGCATTATGTTTTAAAATACCGAAGTTCACAAGTTATTACAATCAAAATTTTGCTAAATTAATTCAACGTATTTGCCAGATATCACGATATACTTACTATTGCCCGAACTGTTTTCCATCGTGGTCTGAATATCTTTAGCGGTTTCTTCGCCGTGTGGCTGTATTTATACCTTCATCATGTCTAATTCTCAATATTGAATTTTCTTTTGTCTAATTCTCAATATTGAGTTCAAGTTTACAAATGCTGGGTGGTTAGCGAAAATTCGCCCATGTATATCCGCCATAATGTGCGACTGGAAAGAAATACGATTCATTAGACTTTTGACTGTAATAATTTCAAAACTATTGGATTTAAGAGATATAAGTGTGTTAATTGTATAGAGATTTAAAAGTTACATTTACACTTTATAGATATTTTCGTATAAAGAAAGTTACCACTGCGCATTTCGTAAATGCATTCACCAATGAAAAAGAATAGAATTATTCCCCAGATTATACTTTGCTAGATACTTTGATTTGATTTTTATTCAAACATTTTTGCTATCTGTAACTGTTTGAAATATATAATTTGTTCCATTGATGTAAAATTTCCTCTACGGATATTTCCACGATATACATATTGATATAACAAAGCTGGGTCAAACCTTTATCGTTGTGATTCCCGTCCGAAAATTTAAACAATTTGTAACAATTGAGAGACTCTACCGATATTCTCGTAAAATCGTGACTGCTAGATTGATTCAAATGTAATAAAAATGTACCATCGATATTAAAATAATCCTAGATACCACCGATATTAAAATAATCCTAGATACGTCTTATTGCGTGATGGTACTACCATCGTACTATCATATTTTAATATCGATGGTATCTAGGATTATTTTAAATTACATTATACGTATATTAAATGTTACATGAGATACAATTCCGACAGTACAACCTTCACTTCTTCCTTTGCTCACATTTTTTCTTTTTCGGACGGGCGCAAAAAATATTATACATTAACTTTTGAACGATCATTGTAAACGTGACACTCCAAGTTCAAAATCTGTATGAATGTACATGTATGTATGTATGTATGCATATATATTGGCTCAAATGGCAAAAAACAGAAAATCAAGGAGCAAAATAAAAAACGATAGTCTGGTGAAAGATATAACTGTTATCTTTTACACGACTATACGACATTATATAACGTATTTCATATGTTTCGTTATTCCCATAGCGAAAATTTGAAATATACGTTAGACGCCAGTCTAACTGACTCATTAAGAAATTCTTCGATTTATGCTACTAAACTAAATTTGATTTAGAAAAGCCATGAAGAGGAATCTACAAAAAGGCCATTTTCTTTCATAGTAAAAAAGTTATAATTCACTAACTTCTAAATATTCATTTTGCATAGTAATACTAAACATTCACAGTGTTAAATGTCGATGAATAACATTTATATGTATTGAATAATATGTTTGAAATTCAAACAAATATGTAGATATAACTCCGTATATATATATAGATATAAAAAATATGCGAATTCAAATATGTAAATATGAATCCAGAAGTCCATCAATGTTATAAATAAGTGTTGATAAATATCATATATGTTATGATCAAAGTTTTATTCAATAAATGGAAATAGTGTGCATAGAAATATTACTTATTCATTTTCTCAAGCACCGTTACTTTTTTTATTTCACACACAAAAACCTTTATCTCCTTTCTTCGTATTTCATCAAAATAATAAACTAAAAATTATTAGTTTAAAAATTGTTGATAAAAATGAAAAGATATAAACATCAATCTTACGATTATATTAAAATAATAAAAGATAACATGAAATAAAACAAGTAAAAATCAAACAGTATCCAGTACCCACTGACCAAATAAGAAAATAATTTAATTTTTTTAATACACTTAATACACCAGGAAAATGGAGTGAAACCTTTTCTTCTATATGAAAAATCTATAATTTTGATTCTATTAATCGATGCCGTATTAACATATTTAGGTTCTAAATCGCATAGTTCAAAAGTTATTACAATCAAAAATTTGCTAAATTAATTCAGCGTATAAGCCACATATCAAGTGATACTTACAAATGCTCGAACTATTTTCCATCGTAGTGTGAAGTCTTTAACTGTCTCTTTTAACGGTCATGTTGCATAAAAATTCTTCCTCGAGGGATTTCATCTGAACCTATGGAAATACAATGATTAAATATAATAATATTTTTAAATATTTATTAAAACATCGGATCTATGTTCTACAGAGTGATCCATACAACAGAAACAAGCTGTATCTTTAATACAGCTAAAATAATAAAAGATAACATGAAATAAAACCAGTAAAAATCAAACAGTATCCAGTACCCACTGACCAAATAGTAAAATAATTTAATTTTTTAAAACACTTAATACACCAGAGAAATGGAGTGAACCTTTTTCTTCTATATGAAAAATTTATAATTCTGAGTCTATTAATCGATGCCATATTAACATATTTAGGTTCTAAATCGCATAGTTTAAAAGTTATTACAATCAAAAATTTGCTAAATTAATTCAGCGTATTAGCCACATATCAAGTGATACTTACAAATGCTCGAACTGTTTTCCATCGTAGTCTGAAGTCTTTAACTGTCTTTTTTAACGGTCACGTTGCATAAAAATTCTTGCACGAGGGATTTCATCTGAACCTATGGAATTACAATGATTAAATATAATATAATTTTTAAATATTTATTAAAACATCGTATTTATGTTGTACAGAATGTTCCATACAACTGAAACAAGCTGTATCTTTAATACAGCTAAAATAGTAAAAGATAACATGAAATAAAACAAGTAAAAATCAAACAGTATCCAGTACCCACTGACCAAATAAGAAAATAATTTAATTTTTTTAATACGCGTAATACACCAGGAAAATGGAGTGAAACCTTTTCTTGTATATGAAAAATTTATAATTTTGAGTCTATTAATCGATGCCATATTAAAATCGATAACATATTTAGGTTCTAACTCGCATAGTCCAAAAGTTATTATAATCAAAAATTTGCTAAATTAATTCAGCGTATTAGCCACATATCAAGTGATACTTACAAATGCTACAACTGTTTTCCATCGTAGTCTGAAGTCTTTAACTGTCTTTTTTA